GCAGGAAAGCAGAAAAGAGAAGTCCCAGGAAGACAGTTGTGCATCACATTTGGAAAGTAACTGGTCTGGAAGCAGCAGGTTTGAGCATTCTTTTTAAGGTCTTAAAAAGAGGGGGAGGACTTGATAGATTACTTATCATGATTGAAAATCTGAAAAAATGGGAAAAAATTTCAGACATAATTCTAGGAAAAAACAAAACTGTGAATAGAAAAATGGCAATTGGTTATTATAGAAAAAACAAAAACGCCAGGTGCGGTGGCTCACGCCTATAATCCTAGCACTCTGGGAGGCCGAGGCGGGTGGATCGTTCTGAGCTCAGGAGTTCGAGACCAGCCTGAGCAAGAGCGAGAACCTGTCTCTACCAAAAAAATAGAAATAAATTAATTGGACAGCTAAAAATATATATAGAAAAAAATTAGCCGGGCATGGTGGCACATGCCTATAGTCCCAGCTACTCGGGAGGCTGAGACAGTAGGATTGCTTGAGCGCGGGAGTTTGAGGTTGCTGTGAGCTAAGCTGACGCCACGGCACTCTAGCCTGGGCAACACAGTGAGACACTGTCTCGAAAAAAAAAAAAAAAAAGAAAAGAGAAAGAAAAAAACAAAAACAAGAAAGGAAATATAACCAGAGTCTATGATGTTATTCTGCAATGAACAATTTACGTAGTCAATATTAAAAATTATATTGATTTCCAACTTTTAGAAACAATCTATAGTCAAAACACAGAAGACTTAACTATGATTATAAAAAATTAACACTGACAACTTGGAAGCAAAAGTACAGATGAAAGAAACTGGAAGATCAAGGTGCAGGAGGGTACACATGAAAAACTGAAGGGATACTAATATTTTCATTTCGCAACCTGGGAGTTAAGAGATACTGTTTATATCTGAAGGATCAGGGAATAATTCTGTGGGTGTATTACTTAAAGGTTCAAGGGTAAGATATAGAAGGAGACTAAAAAGCAAATCCTTATGGATGAGGAATGAGGAATGAATAGAAACTTCAGCATAGCTCCTTGATTGAGTACCGTGCAGCAAAAAAATAAATAGTCATTTAGACAATTTAGATCTAGAAAAAATTTTTGAGATATAATATTTAGTGGAACAAAGTAGATTATGAAGTTTTAGTTACAAAATGTTATTTAGTTATTTCTGGATGATAAGCTTATGGGGAATTTTTCTATACTTCATTCATTCAACAGATTTTCTGTATTTCATTCATTTAAGAGCTTACTGGGCATCTACCATGTTGTGGGCCAAAGAAATGGATATGGCAACTTAGAAGGACAATCAAGGCCTTGCCACACAGCTAGTAATCCAACAAGGAAGATATATATTGTACTAGTAATCATAACAAAATATGAGCTTTATGATGAAGGACATTCATGATGTTAGGAAAATATAAAGCACAGATCCTAAACCTAATCTACGAATCTGGGAAAGTTTCCTTCAACAAATTACTTTGTAATGAATAGATTAATTAATGTAAATTGACAAATAAAAATTGTATATGTTTATGGTGTATAACATGTTTTGATATATGTGTACTTTGTGCAGTGGCTAAATGAAGCTAATTAACATATTCATTACCTCAATACTATTTTTTTGTGGTGAGAACATTTAAACTTTACTCTCTTAATTACTTTTAAGTTTTAAAATAAGAGTTTTTTTTTTTTTTAAGAAAAGCAGACATTGACTGCTAGGAACACAGTGTTATTTCAATTACGTAAAATGTATGAGCTCAGGAAAAATACTCAAGGGAAACAACAAAATAATAACTGTGACTATCTTTAGATTCTGGTAATCTGAGTAATTTTGTATTTTTCTTTATACTTTTCTAATTTTTCTAAGTTTTCTATGAGAGTGTATGGCTTTGATAATCGGAAGAGAAGGATAAGAGTTGTTACAGTTAGCAGTTAGATATTTCGCTGTTTAGGAGTTGTTCCCTAGCCCTCCTGTAGAAGCAGAAGGCAGCTGCTGATCTATCTAAAGAACAGTTACAAACAATTACCATACCACATGTCCACCCTGGCATTTTTGAAGGCTGTCATTTGAGATGGTAGATTGATTTCAATAAATGTTTCAGTCAGCAAATGTGGAGACTGTTTTTGTTTGCCATGAGCTTTGCTAATAGAAACAAGTGAAGGTTCAAGCAGATGCAGGTGACAGAAATATGCCAAGTAGTTCTTTATTATTTCTGATATTTCATTATTCATTAGGCTGTTGTGACATGTCTATTTAAATTGACCTACACCCTATGTTATGTTGTTATTAAAAATATGATTTCAAACATGAAATAATCCCTGTTCTTATGCCCATGTTTCTTGGATTGTGTTTCTAAGTTCTAAAAGCATCTAAATTGGTTCTCTAATGACTCCCTTCAAGAAGTTACTCCTACATGTAAGATCAGACTGTCAGTGGTGATTTTTATGGACTTGGATATTTAGTTTACTGCACATATAAGTCCTTTGCATTTTGTTATTTCTCCAATCACAGGTCTATATCATAACTTTGAGACCCCCTCTTACCCTCTACACTTTATCAAAGATTACTTTTTTCAAGGGTCACCTAAGGTAAAACAATCAAATTAATTCATTTTAAATTGGTAATACATTTAAAACCCTTATGTAATAATGACAAGATTTGGCTGAAAGGTAAATTGCAGTGTGCACACAGAGATTTAAAATCAGGTGCCAGGGACATCAGCATGCAGAGAGAATCTCTGTGTTCTCATGCCTTAGGAGATTTAACCAATATAAGGAAAGTCTAAGAAAAGGTACCCCAGGACTGGTGTGTGAATATGTTGCAATATCTAAATTCATCTTCTCACCTCAATTTGTTCATGTGCCTCTCTTGGAAAAGGAAGTTCAAAAGGTATTGCTACATTATACAAGTAATATGGGCTGGTAATCAAAAGAACTGGGTTCTAATTCTGACTTTACGACTAACTGAGTGACTTTAGGTAAGTCACTTAACCTCTCTGGTTCTTATTTAAACCAAGCGTTTCATCAAGTCATGTCTAACATGAATGTTGGGTGATTTAATGAGATCTAAGTTTTGATAAATTGTGGTGAGTTGGGGCTGCCCTGCACAGCTCTTCCTCCTCTGGGGTTCAGGACTTTTGTTCCTTAACCCCAGTTGGAGCCACTTTGGCCCCATCAATGACCCACTCCAGGAGAACCTCACAGCAAGGACTCAACAGTGATGTGGGGCTATACTCGAATAACGTCTTCCAGATGGCCCAATGGGAGAGAGATCTGACGAGGTTAGTCAGAGCTCACAACTTGCATGAATTCTCTGGAAGAAACCCCCACACCTCCCCAGCTAAACTCATGGTCATATCCCTTTCCTAGGTCCTCTTCTGTGTCCATTTACTGCAACTTCTACGTCCAAGTCAGCTTTTCACCTCCAGATTGACATCCAAGCTGAAATCTGCTAACAGAGACAGAGAAGGAGTCATAAAGTAAAGTAAGCAAAAATATTGAGATCTGTTTCAACGTAAAAAAAAGCCTACAATAACAAAAACTAAAGTTCTGTATGCCTTTCTACCGATGTAAAACACAGCTTTCCTCTAGAAGCTCAACCATTTTTCATAATCATGATCTTCTATTAACAACTCATATCTTTCCCGGTAGGCACATTTCTTTTTCTGTTCTCTATGTCAAAAGTACATAATATACAGTGCAGCGATCCAACTATGGGCTGGCTTTTCTGGAAACTGTCGGCATTTCTCTCCCTGCCTTCCTTTTGTTTCTAAGAGCAGTTGTGGATTGGTGTAGACCCAAAATAGGAGTTGAAATATGTATTGCATCATTTGTCACATCAGCTACAAAGGAAGCAGCAGAGGTAACCAGAAATGAGGAACAGGAAATTTCTGATAAACAACTCTGATGGTTATCTGGAAGCTGAATTGAATCACAGACACCAGAGTTTGGAATTGCATTTTGAATTGCAGAATTAAAGGTAACTGCCTCCCACCTGTCAATTTAATTCAAAATTTGGGTGTGGTTTTGTAGGCTTAGCATTCCATTCTGTGGTAGTGCTGGGGAGCATTTATTTATTTATCAGGCTCATATGGAGCACATTTGAATTTGGAAATAGAAATGATAAAAAATAACATGCTGAGTGCCCCTGATAGGAATGCTATCATGGATGTTGATAGCATTTGGAGGTGAAATGAATGAGATTACCTTTTCACAGACTCAACATTCATCAATGAAAATTTGTGACTGAATGAATTTAGCCTTGTTATCAAGCAGTGCAAACCTATCGCAACATAAACATAGAATAGGAAGTTAGAATGAATGCCTGTCTCATTGGGTTTGCATTGAGTAAGCTAAATAAAGATTGTTTAACTCATGCACCTCTCACTGTTCCTCTCTGTCTTCAATTTAGGAATAGAAAAATCCACAATTTCAGATTCTGAGAGGAGAGACAAAGGAGGAACAGTGAGATTCTGAGAGTACCCGAAATCTTTGCTGTGCCCCTGACTAACCCTGGTTTGTGTCCCTTCATCATGGTGGTAACTCTTGTCATAATTTGAAAAACTTGAGCTGCTTTTTAAGAGACTTATTGGTCTTGCTGCTGTGGACTCATAATTCCTTTATCTGCTCTTAGGAAGAAAAAACATATAGAAGTTTAAAAACTGGATGTCCCTGCACTCCCACCTCCTGGCTCCTCATTCTTCTCCAGGCAGAAAGACGGTAGCACTCCTTTTCCTTAGCAAGGGGGTATTTTCAGACACCAAGGGGTTGTCTGTCAGAGACAGCTGGCCAGAGAGGTTAGGAGGGAGAGGGACAAGGAGGATCCAGATCCGTTCCCTGTCACCGGCTGCTGCTTTCCTGGCAGGACTGCACTGGTAGACCTCCCTGCCCTCCCACTTCCCTTCCTCCTCCCATCTGCTGTCTCTTTTCCAACCTCTATTTTGGCCTTTCATAGTAAGAGGTCAGTATGTTTTCACACTTGGGAAATTTCATTCAAGAATTTTTGTCAATGGACAAGTCATAAGAAGCCCTTCCATTTTAGGGCTCTTTGACGTCACCAAAAAGGCGATAAATATCTGTTGATATAATTGGATGTGAGATTCAGTGTTGAGATAGCAAAATTCTGCCCCTCGCTCCTTGGCAGGGCCCTATGATTTATGCAGGAGCAGAGGCAGCACGCAATCGAGCTGTCAAGAGAGCGTCAGCTTATTAGGCAGATGCTGCGTGCTTTCTGAAGAGGGTCGACGCTATAAAATCCCACTCCAGGCTCTGGTGTGGAAAAACTCGGAGCCCAAGTCTCTTGAGAGACCGGAGGGAAAGAGGAGACAGAAAGAAAAAGAGAGGGAGACAGAAAGGAGAAGGGAAGAAAACCTCCAGAAGAAGCCCCGGAGACGTCCCTCTGCAGAGAGGCGGCAGCGCCCGGCTCACCTGCGGAGCGCCTGGGAAGGTAGGGAGCGCCTGGACGGAACGCGCCGCCGCGCCGTGCCCCTGGGCGGCGTGTGTGTGCGTGGACGGTGCCTTAAGATTCCAATAGTAGCTGGATGTGGCAAAAGCAAACTTAGACGGCTGCTCGTAGTTACCCGAACAGCAAGTTGCTCCTCGCTGGCTGTATAAAGGACCCCCCCATGTCTATACTGGCCGCCCCCCACTCCCCGCCCAGAAGGAAGCAAGGGTAGGGATGGAGACAGAGGAGGAGGAGGAGGCAGGTCTCAGTTTGGGGGTGGTCAGCACGAGTGAGATCTTACATTTGTGGCTCTTCCCTAGGCTTGGGGTATTAGTTTTCGGGACCGTTCAGTAGAGGACTCAGGGACCGTCCTTTTGGGGTCTCCAAAGAAGGGTCACTCCTGCCGTGCGAGGGCATCAGCTTTGGTGCCGAGGGCGGCAGACGTCCCCTTTCCCGCTCCCCAGGCGCTTCAGCACCGCGGACAGCGCCCACCCGGACCCCCTAGGCCAGAGCCCGGCACGTCTGGGGGTGTCCCGTAGGAAGACCCCGAGGGCACCTCCCAGTTGAGCTAAACTCTGACCAACTCTTTCTTTCTCTCCTCCCTTCTCATTCCGCCCCGCGCCCACCTCTGTGCCGCAGCGAGCGCCCCTAACATGCGGCTTCCGCTGCTCGTGTCCGCGGGCGTCCTGCTGGTGGCTCTGCTGCCCTGCCCGCCATGCAGGGCCCTCCTCAGCAGGGCGCCAGCCCCGGGCGCCCGGCAGGCTCCGCAGTCGCCCCAGCGCCTGGATTTCTTGCAGCCGCCGCCGCAGCCCGAGCAGCCCCAGCAGCCGCAGCCTCGGCCCGTCCTGCTCCGCATGGGAGAGGAGTACTTCCTCCGCCTGGGGAACCTGCACAAGAGCCCCGCCGCGCCCGTCCCGCCCGCCTCCTCGCTCCTCGCCGGCGGCAGCGGCGGCCGCCCCTCGCCGGACCAGGCGGCCGCCAACTTTTTCCGCGTGTTGCTGCAGCAGCTGCTGCCGCCTCGGCGCTCGCCCGACAGCCCCGCGGCTCCCGCGGAGCGCGGCGCCGAGAACGCCCTCGGCCGCCACCAGGAGGCACCGGAGAGGGAGAGGCGGTCTGAGGAGCCGCCCATCTCCCTGGATCTCACCTTCCACCTCCTGCGGGAAGTCTTGGAAATGGCCAGGGCCGAGCAGTTAGCGCAGCAAGCTCACAGCAACAGGAAACTGATGGAGATCATTGGAAAGTGAATCGGTGCGTCTGGCCAAAAAGATTCTGCATTTAGCACAAAAAAATTAAAAAAAAATTACAGTATTCTGTACTATAGCGCTGCTCTGATACCATTTGTTTATTTTTATATAGCTTGAAACATAGAGGATGTACAGGGAGAGAGCCTATACCCCTTAATTAGCATGCACAAAGTGTATTCCCGTGCAGTAACAACACAATGTTATTCGTATCGTCTACTTCTAGTTTCCACTTCCAGGTGTCTTTTAGTGGTGTTTTAAAGAGAAGGCAGATCCGGGAGGACACGTTTTGAAGAAGCAGACAGAAGTCACCTAATTGTTTTTGTTGTTGTTTGAGCCAAAGAGAATGCCATTCTCTTGGGTGGGTAAGACAAAATCTGTAAGCTCTTTGAATCAACTTTTTCTTGTAAACGTTTCAGTAATAAAACATCATTCTAATCCTTGATCAGTTTGGTTGTGTAAGAGAATGTTGGATATTTATATTTTTAATAAAAGCTGCAAAGGTAATTGTGACTTTATTTTTCCTCTTCAATGTTCATACACTGGAAATACTGTCAGCTCTTAGCTTCTTCCAAATTGTCTTCAGCACAAGGAAAAAACGAAACAAAACTTCCCGCATTTTATTTTCTACTGAAAATACAAACACGTGTCAGTGGCTCACACAGACCGTGCAATCGCCTTAGGCTCATCTCCATACCTCAGATGACTACTCTGAGGTTCAGTTAAATAATTTGGGAAGTTGCTTCCAGGTCTAAAACTTGGTAATTCTATAAAGGAAGGATCAATTTATAATGGAAATAACATTCAACCGTGACTGATTATAAGATGTGAAATAATTGGGGAGAGTGGGGAAAGACGAAAGGAAAAGAGAAGTGTCAAAGCAGGCATTCCTCCAAACTGTATGGTCAAAATGCTGCATTTTTTTTCTATGAGAAAGATTTATTTATTTTTTTTATCAAACTACTACTTTGGTACCATGAGAAAAACTTTTTTTCTAAGCTATTTTCCAATGACTACTTCTAATAGGAGAGACTTGATAGCATCTCCACTTAAGACAACTAAATTTAGTTGTTATAAAATGGCACTTGGGAAAAATTTTCTTATAAAGAACATTTTGATTTTAATAACTACACAAATACCCTCCACATTTATGTCTATGCCAACCCTAATCACTTTGAGCAACACAAACAATCTTTACTCACTTCTAAAACTTGAACAGCATATCTAATTAGTTTTACAATGTATTTGCCTGCAGTTTATAGTTTTAAACTATAAATTCAACTGATTGTTGAATATAAACTATAATTCAACTGATTGTTTAATACTTCAAAATTAATTTTGCTTCTTCCCCTGGGACCCTTGAAATATAAATAACTAATAAATTAACAAGATAATAGGAAACACTGAATAAATCATAAGACTAAGTTTTTAAAAACAGCATTTATTTAAGAATTCACAAAGAGTAAAGTTACACTTATGTTCTGAAGGAGGCATTATGGTGAGACAAATTAAGCATGATTTAAATATATATATATTTTTTAATGTGTGATGTGTGGGTACATATATCTAAATACATGCAGTTTTTCTATAATTTACCAGATTGGTGCCACAGTGGATATATGAGAAAGTAGACAGTTCCTGTTGAAAGGCCTTTTGTGATTAAAGTGCCTAATAGTACCTAAAACTAAGACTAGAAAAGTGTTACAAGAGATGTCCCAGGCCTTCAGCCTCTGGACTATGTAAAGTGTCACCAAATTCAAAGAACATTTCTGAATATCCCATCCCATGAGATTTATTATGAAAAAGAAGAAAACTTCATGAAACATTTCATAGCTTTGGTCAATGATTTCCCTTTCGTCCATATATTGATAAATCAGTCACTTCTGAATCGACACTGAATTTCACTGACCACCTGCATTGTCAAAGAGGAAAGTAAATAAGAGCGACTATGATATAATAACAAAAAGCCAGTGCCTGTTAGGACGAAAGTGTAGTGCCCACTTTTTTCAACACTTGCCACTTTTGATGACACACACACGTACCACACCTACACATCCTTAATAATGTTTCCCACACAATAAAAGATTTGCATAAGCTCAAGTTTCTTTTTTCCAGTGTTTTCTGCAACTATTTTCCCAAAGTATTCTTCTTCCTCAGTGTGTTAGGGAAGTCATCTGGAATTAAAGTTGTGGGTTTTGTTTTGTTTCGTTTGGCAGAAATCCTGTTCAGCGGTCCCTTTCATTATCTGCATCGTATTAACTTCACTTAGGTTCCCTGCCGCCCGTGTGCATCTCAGCCAGGCAGACACAGGAGCAGCAGTTGGAATGAACATCATTCATTTAGGGAGTTCAACCAGGAAAAGGAAAAGACGTGGCGAGCTGGCTCAGAATCAGATCCGTTCCCACTCCCTGAAGCTGCAGCCTGTCCCTGGCGGAGAGGGGCTTCATAGCCAGTCTGCAACAGAAGAGAATGTGAATCAGAGAAAGAAGCAGCTAGTCCTTTTTAGATGGGCCCAATCGCATTTTTACTAAGAAGAAAAGATAATAATAATAATAGTTATTATTATTATATGGGACATAATTATTATTAGGGCTGGGAAGCAAGCTCAGGTTACCTCGGCTATGGCCAAGAGCCATGAAAGTAATTCACACCCATGATACACGAAGGGACAGCAGTAACGCATGCAGTGGAGGAACGTCCTTGGGAAAAAGAGTCCAGTCTACTTTTTCTTAAAGTCCACTTGTACGTGAAAGTCTCATTGAAACTGATGGGAATTTGGGCTTAGAAAAGCTTGCAGAATAAAAACAAATTCCTAATTTAACTGACACTTCTTTACCACACGATATTTCAGGGCCTATTAAAATAATCCCTCCACTGCTAAAGTAAGAAGTTTCTAACATATATATGCATTATACTAAGTACGTACATACATATATACATATATATATGTACTTAGTATAATTTTTGCAAAACTGCAGGCTTAGTTTTGGGCAAATCACAAAGGAATTTTTTTCTCTAGGTAATAAAATCTAATAACAACGTCTATATTAAGTCAAATCTAATATCAATTATTTCTAAAGAGATAACTATCTTTTATAAATACCTGACAGACACAGGTTGTGATTCTGAATTAATGATTAATCTAATCTGAATAATAAGTAATATTTATTCACGTTGTTTTGGGTTTTAAAACTAACAACTTCATGAAATGACGGACACTCATAAAAAGAAGTCTTGCTGAAAGACAGTTCAATTCTATAAACTCGAACTCTTCCCATTTAAAGGCACCATGACAAACACAGTTCTTCCCAGGAGAACGATGGATAAACGAGCAAACACATTCTGAGCACGTTACTGGTAAAACGATCCCACCAGATTAGAATGCCACTGATTTGAAAGCAATGAGGGAGCCACATGCATTCGGCTCAGCAGCCCCGGGCGATTTTATGAAGCCGCTATATGAATGGACAATATCTGGCACAGGAAAAGCAGAACTTTGCTAAGTATGTTGTTTTATTGCCACTCAAAATAGCTTTGAGAGAAAATGAATGCTTGGCTTGTACCTTATTGGACGTTACCCTAAACATATGTTTGGGGAGGATGGGTCAAGAGAAATGAAATGATCCCAAGTCCTTATGGCTTTGGGATCATACCTCACACTGCCACATTGCTCTCTGCCAGAAAGTTAAGAAGGGCCAGGAAACACACCAGCCACAGTGGAATAAACTGAAGTATGCAGTACTCTGTAAAGGAACAGTTGAGGCATCAAGTGAAATTGGGCTTTTTGAAAAAGGATGTTACTAGATTCTGTTGGTGATGGGTTAGACACTTTGATGTCCTTGAAACTGAAGTGAAATTAAACATCATCCTGACAGAATCCTGTGCCTATTTGTCCAGGTCAAACTCTTCTTTTCCCCACAATACCCACCTTATCCTCAATAATCCTAAAAAAACCCCACAAACACACACAAAAAGTGACGTGGGCATATCACGGATATTTTTCTAACCATTCCGTATGAGTGAAGACTGAATTCTGCCTGCAGGAACAGACAGTCAGGGTCCATTTTATACTTTTTTTTTTTTTAAGGCAATTCTTAATCTAGAGGAAAATTCCACGACAGCTGTCTCAAATATCTAAAGGGTGAAACAAGTGGGGTAAGATATTTTCTGCAGAAGGATATCATCTTTGGGAAACTGCTGGTGGCTAGCAAGGTATTGGGACTGCTTTTGGAATATGTATAAATGTTTATGCTTTTCTGTAGTAGAGATTAAAATCTTCCATTTAAAATGTTTTAGTGTGAATATCCTATAGCCTTCAAAATTTGACATTAAGTATCTTGGGTTTGCTTCTCTTACACCCCGTGCTTCCAGGCAATTATTAGGTTTTCCTCCAAATGATATGGACTGATGCTATCTTCCAGAGAAGAAAAGCCAGTACCAGTGTAGGGGCAAGAGTAGAGATTATCTTAAATATCTTTAGATGGCATCACCTCCTTCGTCTTGTTTATATAAACTAAGGACCCGCCAACCACCATCTCAGCAGGGAAGTTCTGTGCAAAAAGGCATAGCCTAGTTTCGAATCCCAGACCAACAACTTACTAGCTGTACGACTTGGACAAGTTACTTAACCTCTCTGAGCCTTAGTTTTCTCTTTTGTAAAATAGAGATGAAAGCCTACTTCACAAGGTTGTTATAAGGACTGAATAAATAAAGTACTACACATAAAGCACTTTACACATTCCTCACTTAATTAGGTCCTTTCTTCCTTCCTTCTTTCCTTCCTTCCCTCCTTTCCCCCCTCTCCCTCCCTCCCTCCTTCTCCCCATTCTCCCTTACAGCAGTGAAGAGGCTCCTCTGCCATGTGGAATCACCTGGGGACTGTTTATGGTGACCTATATACCACAGCACTGATCCCCAGTAAGGCAACATAATCGCATTTGCAATCTCATCTTTACAGAATTGGACATCATTTAAATGATTTAAGCCCTTGAGTGTGTTGCGATCATGGCCAGCCATGATACTGCTCAGTGGATCTCCGAGAGGCCCAACTTCATATATGGCTACCTCATAAAGGAAGGAGTTAAAGATCTAGAAACCTCTTTTCTGTTAGCACAGCCCATCACATCAAAAGCAGACATTTTTTCCTATAGCATTCCCCAAATGAAACTGTATATATGTGTCCCTTCGAATATTAATAGTTTTCTAAATGCTGGCTCTCCTTCATCACGGGAAGTGCTATTTCTTGGGAATACTCATGTCCCATGAAGCAGAACAAAGGACAGAGAGTTACAAGCACTGATCTCTTCTACCTGCCTTTGAGCTTGTCCTGCATTCCGGTTTAGTCTGATAATGTATAAAAAGGATTGCTAGCGCCATGTTATAGTCATGTGTTAACAATGGATATACATTCTAAGAAATGCATCATTATGTGACTTCATCATTGTGCGGCGCACTTACACAGACCTAGATGGTACAGGCTACTGCACACCTAGGCTATATGGCACAGC